AGAAAGGGATGGAGAAGTGGCAGGGAGCACAAAAGGCAGGAGGGGAATCCAGTGGGCTTTTTTGATTTCTAGGAAAACACACTCTGCTGCTGACAGAGTTCTAGTTTACTCTTCTGCTGATAAAGTGGAAATTTTTGTTGTTCATTAAAGCATTAGTAATCATTACAGTATTACCCTAAAATAATTTAAATTCCAATGAATTTAGCATTAAGTGGCATGTTGATGCTAGGAAAATAAGCCTGCTGTAAAGCAATTCACCTTCAAAATTCTGGGCTACCCCTGGCCATGGGACTGTCAAGTGTCTCCAGCCAGTACTTCTTTTGTATCCAGTTACGTCAGTCAGCTCACAGAAAGAAAATGTCTTTTTTTTCTTTTGTCCCCTCATGTATATGTTGCACGAATTCCACTTTAACATGCTGTTCTAGCTATTAGTAAATATTCTGCTAAACTATTTCCAGAGTAAATTCTACTTACTTAAAAACTACCTTAAGAAAAAGGGTGCCTACCCGTTTTCCCTTTTCAACTAAGAAACTCAAAAATCAAATGTAAGCATGAAGCAGATACTAAGCTCAGGTCAGATCTTTAACTTATGGTTGAAGTGTAAATTGCCAGTGATGTCTGAATCAGAAAGAAATCAACTCATCTTCTCCCTTTCTAGCAAAGACTTAAAGTTTGAGAGTTAATAAATAAATCATCTTCACTTATGCTTGTTATTTTAAATTACATTTACTTCATTTACAGTATCAACTGTCCTGTCATATTTTGAAAAGCTACTTTCTGGCAGAGAGTTGGACTTTTCCTTTTTGTAAAAATAATACATCATCAGCATGGCTAAAGATGTTGGCTCTTCCTGAAAGTGATTTTTTTTATTTTAATAAAAGAAAGGCTGAAACTACCAAAAAAGAGAGAGTAATGAGGCAGACTGTGCAAAATCTCTCTGTGTGCGTTGCTTTCCTTATTACAGGAGAAGAACAATGAGAACCCTTTCATCTTTGTCTTTTAAACAAGTGGGACACAGGGATAGGAGTTTCATCTGAGGTAGATCAGATAAAGAACAACCTTTAGTATTACTTACACACAAAAACATATTCACACACATGGGTAGTGGTAATTAAATTTTACTAATATTTTTAGTAGGAATTTTCAAATTCTGTCTTAGAGATATTTAAATAATTTTAAATGGTTGTAAGCAAATAAAATCAATTTTAAAAGACAGATAATATTAAGTTTGATAATGTTCTACACCTAAGTGTATCTTCTGAAAGAGGCTATTTTGAGAAATAAATCTTGTACCCAGTACTCAGTCCTGAAGCTGGCTATAGTAGTTTATCACAGAGAGTACCTGACTTTACACATAATCTAAAGTATAACACAAATGCATTAGACTATCTCCTAATTTCAACAACATGGTTTTAATTTTTATTAGGTATCTAGATTATATAGGGGCTATGAAATATTCCGATAGTTACCCTCTTTCTTCTTTTTGGACCACCATTGATTTTCTCAAAGAGTAAACTCTTGCTCTGGAAGGGAAAAAAAAACCAACACAGCCATCAAATCCATTACACTCTTCTTTTAAAATACTATTTCTGCAATCAAATATTATCAAGTCTAGAGAAGTGTGTAGTTTTATGGGAGAAATAAGCCACAAATATGTATTTGTGTATTCCTACTAATATTTGCAGTTCTTCAGGAGCAGTCACAGCCTTATCAACAATTTTAAAGCCAGTATTTCTCCACTATTTTATCCCCTGTGTTCAGGAAATAAGTGCTTCAAGTACGTGCTGCATAGTCTGGATGTTCCCCATCATGTGATATGTGGTATAAATAGATACATATTTTTTTTTTTTTTAAGGAAAAGCAGAAGGAAAAAGAAAAATAAGAATGTGAGGGAGAAGATGCAGGAGTCCTGCCTCGGGTGTGTCTTTTATACATTTGAGGTGACACAGGAACAGGAGCAAAAAATACTTGCTTTACAAGGGATTTTCTAATTCCTTTTAAAAACAGAAATAGGGATCATTCCTACTGTTTTGTTGTCTTTGCTTATTCCCTTCCAGATATCAACACTTCCCAGTGCAAAGCTCTGCTGAAAGGAGTTCAGCGCCAACTCTTCCTTTGTTTAAGTAGTGCCCTCAATAAAGTTTCTAAAAACCATTTGGTCTATAACATTTTTAATGGCAAACCTTTTAAAAACTGCCAGAAACATCTTGGCAGAAGAGAAAGTTATGATGATGAGAAAAGAAAAAAGAAAAACAAACCAACACAAAAAACCCCCTCTGACCATAGTTTACGTAAGTGCATCCACATATTGTTGTATTTCTTATAAGTAGTGAATTCTAATAAAGTCTGGAATAACACACACATGTTCAACACATTTTGTTTCAATCCTGTGTTATGAAGAAAACCAAAACCAAGCCCTAACCTGAAAATGGAAGAAGAATCACATGTATAAAAGCAGAAGAGTGTATAAACAAGCCCATTAATTCTGCTATAAACAACTGACCTAACATTGATTATATAAATAGAAAGTGTAACTCTAGCACGAGACAAATTCACCAAACACTTCTAGCTCTCTCTGCAGCCTTGATATGAGAAAAAACAAACATTTTCAAGTGCTACAATGAAATCTGCCAAAATTGTCTGTTTTGTACGTCTAGTGTTCATTAAACCTCGAATTCACAAGGCCTATCTCTTGTCCAACCCCAGTTATTTTGTCTGAGCTGCTCCAAAAGGGAACAGAGATGAAGCTGGCCAAGAGGGACATTCTTTGCTAGTCATTTATGTGAACTCACTTCAGGAAAACTTAAATTTAACATCTTAAAGAAACTCAAGTATGCATGAATTATTCTCCTTAGGAAACAAAGCACCATCAAAGCTTCTCTTTGTAAAGCATTTGACCTTATACTTTCACGAGAGGAAAAAGGGTGTTCCTGAAATAAAAAGAATTTCATGGACTACAGGAGCTAGCATTTCTGTCATTCTGAAAACTTCCTTACAATTGAACTGTTCCTTCTCAAGGAAACCGTATTTTGTTTAGTCTGTCTGAGAATGTTTTAAGGCCCTAAGTACTACTGTAGCATTATGTGGAGTACAAAGCAAATATGGTTGTGGAGCATGAGCTCCACATATTTGTATGATAATAGCAATCCTGAAAGTATGTTCCACTGCGTAATGGCCTGACCTCATCAGCCACCAAAATCTGCCCGGGAAGTGTTCATCCTTCACTGAGAGGTTCTCAGGAATGAAGGCACAGAGTCTCCTCAGTTAAAGGTACACCTCATGAAGAGACATTTCTGCATGTGATTTTCTACTTTTCCCTCCCTCCTGGAGTTTCCTTTGCATCCTCTTGGCCACTTGGATTAGACTACTACAGGTTGGAATTTGGGAGGAAAAAAATCAGAAGTTAAAATGGTTTCAACCGACAAAATATGTAAGTGGATTTTAGATTTGATTGTAAATTGTATATTGTAAATTATCTTAGTGCAAGTGCTTCTGGATGCCAACACTTCTTCAACCCATCTAAAGAGCCAATCTGCAAGATTCAAGAAAGGCACACCCAGAAAGTGTCTGTGTCCTATAAGAAAAAAGTCTGAACTGGGGAAAAAACTTTGACATCTTAGAAACTATAGTTGTACACAAGGATAGAAAACTCCAAAAGTCACTCATCCTACTGTTTCCATTGTCCCCTCTATGTTTTCCACACATGAGAGGGGAGGAGAGCATAAGCTGTGGACTTCGTTTTATAAACAGAGTCTGTTGCTGAGACTTCTGACAGGTCAGCATACTGATATAGGGGAAGTTGCCCCAAAGGCAGAAAAAAATCACCTTTCTTCCCACTCCTAACCCAGTATACCTTTATTATGATTTATATGTTTGTATCTGCAGATGTATTAGCAATATTTACACTTAATATTTAGCATCTACATAACTCTACACTTTGCTGCATGAGACAGCTTCTAGACTTGCTTGACCCTTACAAAACATGTCTCTTATTCCCAGGATACTGCAGAGGCCCCACAGCTTTGCTGTGATGATGTCTGTCACCAAAACAAGCCAAACAACCTGTTTCTGTCCCAGCAGGATGAGCAGGTCCTTTTTTTTCTGACCTGCTAATGTAATTTGGGTTTTTCTGTGGCTACACTGAGGAATGCATGTTGGCTCCTGGAACAGACAAGTCACTGGGATCTGTAATGCTTCCTCACCCACACAGTGGTGAGAAAAGGCTGGGGAATTTTAGATGCTCGGGACAGCTGGAGGATGAGGATGCACACAGTTACCCATGGGCAGCCCACAGCCAGCTGTGTTGGTCATTTACAACTTAATGCAGACAACAGTGAATGCCCTAAAAGATCTGATCTCCTTCGGCTCTGCTTCATAAGGTCTCAAACAGCTAATTTTCAGAGCACTTACCTGATTTTCCCAGAGAATTAGAAGTACCAAACCCAGCCACTAAAAGATACCACTGTATTTATCTTTTTATCATGTAGTAATATGCAAGTAGGAGATGATCAGGGCTATTCTCCTGGATCTGGGCAGAACATTTGCTCATGCACATGACCAGCTGTTTCATCTCTAATTAAAAGGACCTGGAGTTGGCTAAGACCTAGCAACTAGATCTGATTACTGTTTAGTACCAGAGAGTGCTTTAATCCATACATGAGCAGCTTTTTCTCCTGAGTTAGCAGTGATGGATGGAGCTACAAAAAGGCTCAGGATTCACTAATGATTTACTATCATTTATTAAGGATACAAGTTGCTGATGACAACACAGTACATATTGTTTTATCCTGAAATATTGCTATAGGCCAAAGATTTACAGAAGTGCTTTTGTAGTATTCAGAATGGTATTATGAAAGCGAAGTACTCATGAACAGTAAGAAAACTAACAGCCTTACCTGGCATAAAAAAGAAAGTTCACCATCTGGTGTTTTTTAAATGAAAATTTTTGATGGTAATTACTTAGAATTCAACAAGTTTCCAGAATTTGGATTTTTGGCATGATTCTCTCCAGAAATTTAGCACTTGCATAAGTAATTAAGACTATAAATCTTACACTGGTTTGATTACGAAGACGAATCATTGTCTCAAAATTACGTCAGGAGAAGAGACTGCCAAGCATGTCCATTTATCGATATATGCTTGCAGAGCACTGGTTTAGTGCAATCTTAAGTGAAGTGTTATAACAATGTAAAATGAGATTTCATTATTTGTTCTACAAGCATAAATTATGATCATTGTTATTGTTTTCCTGGCGCCTGAAAATGGATTTGGGATTGGACATTTTAACTGATGTAATCCAAGATTAAGTGGCAGAGCTTTCTTTGGAGACTCTAGCCTGCAGAAATAGTCTAGCTGCACTTATTAAAGTCCTTGTATGCTCAGAGCAAGATTTTTGCCCTTAGTGTAGCTCACTGTGTTTATTATATGTGATGTGTCAAATAGGTTTTTCAATATAATGCAGCTCATAACCTGACTAGAGGAAGAATCAGCACCAAGTCCTCCAAAATCCTTAAGGTGGGGAGGATTCCTTAAAGCAAGGGGTCTGAGCCTAGATTTTTTTAAGGTGATTTGAGCTGCTGAACTCTCTTTATCTGTATTTTCTTTCTATTTTTTATATATGTAGCTGAACAGCGAATAGTCACTGAACCTGGAAATTCTTTCACATTAGGGACATCTTATGTTTTGCACTATGATCTTATGATCTGCACTAATTCTGGCTACATGCTCACTGTAGTTTGAAATGTGGGGTTTTTTGCATTTATCAGGCTGACATGTTTTGGGACAGGTAACAGAACAAGGATTTCTACTTTCTGTTTTTCTGGGGTGTCTATCAATCACAAGCACTATTTCTGTTTTACAGGGCAAGTCCACCTTTTCGACAAGTTTCCCTTGGGGTGATAATTTTTCCAGCATTAAGAACAATACTGTCCTCATGGTTTCATAGTGCCCCACACAGCAGACAATATCCAGTTCCACATGCAACAAAAATAAGCAAGAAGCATGTACTCACCCACTTGCCCCTGTTGGGATAGTCATGCTCTGGATCAAAAAGGTGTTGGTGCAGTTGGTATTCCCTGCTGAACTCTGCTGTGTCTGGGGTGTTTTCTAGACACCCATCATCAACTGCAAAAGAAAGCACTGAGTGCTTAGTAGCTTTGACACACACAGTATATGCCACATTAATCAGCAAACTTCTTAAATGCAATTAAAAAAACCATAAAGAACTCGATGACTAGAAAATACCAGGTTCTTTTTTCTCTTGAAACAAATTTTTCAGAATGTATTTATTTTTAAAAAACCCCAAATCCTCACAACTTAATGACAACTGAAGGAATTTCTTTTCCATGCTCTTTCCCTCCTTTATGTTTTTCTTTAAATTATTGCACTTGATTTTACCTAAAACTGAATCCTGTTCTGATACAAAAGGGATATTATTTTCTTTTTTAAATGCTCACAAGTAGTTTTAGAAATGGGCAAGGCAATACTTTTGGAGGTCATGGTTTAGCAGTGCTGTGAGCAAAGGCAGAATTTCTTTCACTGAGTAGCTCCTCCTGGAGCTCCACTTCTGGTTTGCACTTTATCCAAAATGGCTGAAAACCATTTCTGCATCATAAGATCTCATAAAAATTCTATGTAGCAGAAGTTCTATGATGAAAGCATTTCTGTAGGTTGGTAACTAATCCAATTGGTCCAGAAACTTCCTTTAACCACAAGGGATGGTTTTGTAGACAGTGTGACATCAAGATAATATCCTTTTTAAAATCAACTTACAGTCTTTTTACCAAAATAAGTCATCTTTAGCTTAAACAAAGTTTCAGCAACTTGAGGTCAGAGTAGCTTTTTGGATAGAGTCTGCTCCTGGAGCTCCCACTGCTTTGCCAGCATGGGGAGCTTGCAGTCCAAGTTCCTTGCAGACATACCCGAGGAGATCCTACCAGCCAGGGCATGATGCTGGGCACTCAAACAGCTGCATCTGCCAGAGCACAGGCACTCCAGAGCACACACCTGTAGACTTTCCCTTCTGTCCTTGTGTGTCATCATGTAAAAAGATTTGCAGATGGATTATCTTCTTCCCTCAGATGTGGGAAACAGTAAAAACTTAAAACTGAGTTGATTCAATGACCTGAGAAGGTTATTCTGAGTTCAACAGATCCAGCTTTCTCTCTTTTCTCATTGTGACTGGGAAAAAATAGAATTGCCAATAGAAAACAGGGGAAAACTCTTCATATCTAAGTAACTCAGAAACTATTAAAACATTTAGAAATTATTTCAGTCTCAGCAGGGACAAGGTTGTATCAAGAGAGAAACAGGTGACAAGAGAAGTGTGGTAGACCTCAGAGCATTTGTGTCTTTTGGTAGAAAACACAAAGGGCAGCTGGACACATGGGTGTCCTCTATGACTGCTAATCCAGAAGTCTTCAGCTCAAGTGCTCCAGGCTTATGTATTCCTGCTGTGGAATGTGCATATGTAGACAGTGACTGGAAAAATTGTTTTCCATTAAGCAAATCCACAGACCTGATTGAGGAAGGCCTCTGGTAATTTGTATGCATAATACAGTCACCACTTGAATTTCCATTTAAGGCTCTGAAAAACATTTTACCCTAATCCTAGCAGATACTATCTTCACTCACAGCATACCTCTGACAGAGCCATTTATCTGAGCAGGCAGAACTTCCCTGCAAATTCCCCATGTTCAGATCTGACTGTATTAGCCTAGCTAACAACTTTTATTTCACCTAAGAAAGAAAAATGGAAGGGATTTTCAAAGGCATTTCCCTGGATGCCATGTTTTCAATTTATTTATCTGATCATGACCAGAAGTCTAATGGGCAAGCAAGGAAGATAGAAAGTCTGTGTGTGTGCTTGTGTGTGTGAGAAAATCTAAACCCATCATTTGCAACTTATCAGACAACAGCTATAGTGAACAAATTGGAAGATGAGGTATTTCAGAAAAGATGAAAGCATCATCACCAAATGGGCTGCAATAGAAAGCAGTAAGGGAGGACTACCTGAAATTTTGTCAAATTTTTGAATGAAATGCAAAAAGATTTCACAAACCTTTTTTTAACAAATATTATTTTTTGATTAATTCTAAGGTAGGCAGAATATTTTTAAATAAGAATACAGACAACTGTTCCACATTATCCAAATAACATAAAAGAAGACTAAACAGAAAACATTTTGAAAGGATCTCTTAGCTCACAAATAAAAAATGAGAGAAAAATAGAGTCCAGCTCCCAAGGCAGCCAATGGGTGTTTTACTACTGCTCTCAGTACTGGAAGTCATTCCTTGGCTCAAAGAGCAGGAAGGAGATCCGTTCTCTCAGGCTGCGTGTCTATCGCGCGCACGCAAGGCTGCATTAGCGACCCTGAGCCGTGGCCCCGCAGGGCTGGGCACTGCCTGGCTGCAGCCTGGGGACACTCTGTGTGTCCCTGGCACCCCTGGCCATGCTGCCCCTCTGCCAGGGCCAGCCTGCACACAGCGCCTCGGGGCACATCCACAGAGCTCTCCGCTTCTTGGCACAGAAGTGCCCTCAGCGAGCTATAAAGACACATGGATTGGAGCCAAGGTATCTTAAATATTGACTCATGGTCTGGGTTGGAGATCAGGGCAGACAGTTTCATTCCTCTTGGCACAGTGAAAGTCTCTAAAATAAGGGTAAATCTCATCTGTACAGAATAACTTTTTTCAGGGGCCATCTTAAAAATGAACTCCCTTGGGAACGTGATGCTCTCATAAATCTCGCTATCTTCTCCTCTGAGGTCAGGATGGTTTCTTCCACATGACTTTCTCCAGCATCATACAACAATAGAGGAGGTGCACATATTAATTAAAAAAAAATTTAAAAAGCTGAGGTGAAACATTGAAACACCCAATTTTTCAACAGTTCCTCTCCAAGGGTAGAGAATGAAAAATTCCTCATTTCTGATCATGGGCTGTACAGTGCTGAAAGACAGGAAAATGTACAGTGAAGACAGAGGTACAAAGGCTACAGCTGAATTACCTGTTTTTCCAATAGGGCAGGGATTTGGAGGGTCAGGATATCCTTGGTCTTCACTGAAATCCTTTGGTACGTTATCTCCTGTCAGCTCAGCCACGATGTTTGGGATATTGCCATAAGGACCCAAGTGCTGGAGACCCTCATGTGCACCACCTAGCAAAGACAATTTATGCACAGGCTTTTTACAAGATTAAAAGTGTAAGCACTTAAGCTGGTGCAAGTAATCCAGACTTCAATTTAAAATACAATCTCTCTCTCTCTCTATATATATATAATTGTTTTAGAGGCAAATCCAAGTTTAGATTTCAAGCACTTCTTTCAGAAACATAATCATGTGACCTAAATCCAGTAACTTAGATATTAAAAATGAAACTAGGAAACAAAATTGGCCACATATTGTTAGTCTTATGGCTTTTTTTTCCTTAACTATGAAAGTTTTAGGCGTGTAAATGCAAAGAAAAAGAAAAAATGAAGCCTGATACCTTTAAAAGCACAATCATCTTCAGTCACTGATACTATTACTGTTCATTATAGCAACTAACAACAGAAGATATGGCAAGCATCATAGCAGGAACACAATGTTAATGATACTGTAAAAATAAATGCTACCTGCACAGCCCAGAAATACATTAATAAGTTAAGTCCCAAGGGGGCTTAAGATATTAATGTCCTTGGGGACCCAGGGTATTCTAGCAAATTAGCTTGTGTACACCTAGAAAAATTATTTTTAAATTAAACCAGTTCTTAAATGTAAATTTGCATTTCCTGTTGTAATGATGAAAAGTAGTGAAGAGTCCCTGTTATTGATGGGAATTCTTGTTTACATATACCACCTCCACAGTAGTCAACAAACCATCCCAGCCAGTGACTTCACACCTTTCCATACAAGACTGCCTTTTCCCGTGGGCCCCAGAGCGAGCACCATCACTGCAGGGTTACAGCAGCAGTGTGCAGCAGGCTGTGTAACCCAGTGGCAGAGGACACCACGATGGGCCTGCTGTGCTCGGGCAACTGCACCCAAAACTGGTGTGCTGTGGCCACCTCCCACCCACCTCAGCTGGGTGCCTTGCCTTTCACAAGAAGGGTCTTCCACTAAAGATCTGGGAACCAAGCTCAGGCCACTCTCTCTCTGTATGCCTCTCTACAAATAATTATCTGTCCCAGATCTTCTCTGCATGCCTTACTGGCCAAAGGCATCCACAGGCTAAACCCCAGCTGCTTGTGGAGTTTTTTAAGTACTATTGTACACTATTCTTTTGAATTTCAGACAAATAAAATGTTAGTTTCGAGCACGTTCCTTTTCTCTGAGAAAGACAGCCACCACACACACTGCAGCAATGGAGATGGGTGTGTGACAGCAAAGCAATATTTTTTTTAAACCCTATATAATGAGGGATAACAACATACAGTCAACATATAAATTCTACTAACAATGAATTGAGAGGAAAAGGAATTTGAACAATTGGAAAATATGAGTTAAAGAGTGAACGCAGACACAACTGCTTGGGTAAATAGCAAAATCACCATATTATCACTAAATAGTCTTATTTTAAATTTATATATTTTTCATAGATCCACAAGATGTGAATAAAGCCTCTGAACATGAAAGTTGCTCCAAAAGAATCATTCAAGTATTCCTGTCCCAAATTACAAATAAACATTACCAGCCTAAATCATCTTTTATACAGCCAAACATTGTAAGCTAACATAATCACTTGCAAAAATTGCTAACAGAAGGCACTCAAATACCAAATGTAAATTTTGTATTCATTTCTACATTTAGAAGTGGCAGTTGAGGCAAATTTTGCAAATTAATTTTGCAAATGATCATTGGATGTTAGCATTATGGTACTAGAAGCAAGTTAGTCTATAAGCACATATATTTCCATTTTATTTGCACAATGGACTAAAATCTAATCAATGTGCTAATTTTCCCCCTCAAGTACAAGTCTCTTATTTTTTAATGCAGTGTTGCAGAAAAGTTTTGCAGATACATAACAAATGTAAAACTACCTCCCGTAAAAAAATTACATCTCTGTTTTCTGGGGGTTTTGCTTGTAGCTGACCACAAGACCTGGTACTAAAACCAGAATAGCATTATACTCACTCTGAACTTTATTATACCTTTAGTCCACAGTCCACACAAAGATGACACTCGTAACACAATAATGTTATGGTGATGAGGTTAAATTTAATCCACATTTAATAAATTTAATCTAAATTTAATCTGAGGTTACATTTAATCTAATGTAATTTAATCTAATGTCTAATATATAGCATCAAATACTTCTTTTGTCCCGAGTTCCTTCACATGAAGATTGATTACATATATGAACTTAAAAGCATCAGGTTATGATTCTGCTGTAAACTACGGAACCACATAATCAATACGTGTTTGAACATCCTGTATACAATGTGGTTCACTATGGGACAATCCATCAGATAGAAGCCTATCTGTGCTTGCATGTGGTGCAGACCTCTTGGCACCAAAGCTCCATCCATAAAGAAAACAGAGGTACTTAGCAGGCTCCAGTGTGCTATATATACATGTAAGTTTAAACCTACTGCCAAGAATTCCCTTGACTGAGTACAAACCAATCTTTTTATATTAATATAAAGGATTGTTTCCTTTAGGTATAAATGTCCAGGATCATTTGAGGGTTTCTCCTTTCTTTCCAAAAGAGCTGCAGACAATAGCACCTGCTCTGGTGCCATAATTTAGCACGCTTGAGTGATTTAATAGCATCAGCAAAGCTCATTCCTTATAAACTCTGATAAATAGTGCACTCAGCAAAGACTACAATAATAAAAATGAAGTGCTATGAATATACAAAGTAGGGGTATTATGTACAGTAACTCTCATGAGTTGCATTAGTTTTGGTATTATAACATTACTGATTTAAAGAAACATATTAGGATTAAATACACTGCAGCTACCAAATCAAAATATTGGAATACGAACATACAGTCAGCTACAAAAATAGCAGAAGATCAGTTTCTTGAACTTTGAGGCAGAGCCTCAAGAAAAGAAAAAGACAAGGCAACTAAATACCAAGAAACTTTTCAGTTTCCTATCCAAAGGAATCATGAGAAACATCATTAAAGTATTCGAACTTGGACGACCAAAAATCCAGAGAAGTACAGACAACACCCTTGTACTGAGAAAGTTAGATAAAACTATGTTTTTTTCATGTCTTTGTATTTATATGAACAGGCTTTTCTGTGCCACTTACTAGCAAACACTCCAAAACAATCAGCTCTCTTTCACATGCAGGATTTCTGTGAGCATTTATTATTAGGTATTTCACATTCCTAGAGGATAGAGGTTTAGTTCTCTGGGGCTAGGATCTGCATTGTCCTAAGTTTTGAATTTAATTTAAAATATATGCGTATATGTAGTCTTCTAGCACTAGTCCTGAATTGTTGCAGGGTGGAAAACAAAAAAAGAACAATGCCACTCACCATTATTATAATTCTGGAAAAGTATTTTATCAGCTGATTTTAGTTAGAGATCCTTGGAATGATTAAGTTTAAAGTGTAGACATTTCAGCTCATTTCTTTGTGAGAGCAATGCTGTCTTTATGGGTTTCCCACCCATGCAGGCAACACAACCACTCCATTCTTGACGGACAAAAAAAAAAAAACCCAAAAAAAACCCAAGTAACATAAAGAGCAACTACTTTCTTACTTTCTTGCAGGTATTGAATATTTCCCTGATCATACACATCCAGTGGAAATGCTGTTAGTCCACTGAAGTTTTAGCTGCTGCTACCCATCTATTGGTAGTGCAAAGCAATACCAATTGTGGGAACAAATCTCTGGAGAACAATCTTCCATGTCAAATACAAATTGGCAGTGCTGCCCCCCAGAAGAGTCAGTTTAAGAAAGTCAATGAGTCAATGAGAACGGATTTTCAAGAGTGAAAAATTATTGCAGAACATTTAAAGAGAAACAAGAGGACAAATTCGCTTTTCAGTCTCATTTAAACCATTTCATATGTCACAGTGAAGATAGAGTTACCCCAATTAAAAATTCAGAACAGAGGTAGTTTGGCCAATCTTAGCATAGAGAAATAAAATAGGATGGATCATGAGTATGTGCTGTGAGTAAATAAATCCCAAATACCAAATTAAATCCCTTTACTTAGTGAGTCATACCAGGTACCTCAGAGTGTCCAAGCCCCTCACAGATTCACAGGGGAATCTTTTCCCTGAGCAGAAATCACATCTCTTCTCTTGACCTGTACAAACTCCACACAAACAAGAGCTGCAAGGGAAGCCTGGTATAGCTTATCCCATTTGCCCAAGGTTCCCAAGGGAGCAAACATGGATTAATGAGATGTAATACTATACTTCCTACTTTGCAAAATCTTTTGTTAATCTGGCCTATTTGCTCTTATCACTTGGAAAAAATCTTCAAGATTGTTTACAGTGTCTCCTCAACAAATCAGAGATACATCTTTTTCCTTTTACACTGTCGGCTTCCCATATTATCCTGCACTTTCATCCCCAGTCATCTTGCTGCATCTACATTTGTTGTGTTATTGTCACATTAAAAAGGAACACCTCCCCAAAGGCAGGTTTGATAGAATGTTTCCCAGTGCTCTTATATGTTAAACTGGGACATCATCCACTAACTTACTTTTTCTTCTATTCTATTATCTGCAGGACCACCCATCATGTGAACTCTCAAAAAATTCTGAATGCAGGAAATGAATTTACATTTTCCTTACCCTATCTAACACTTCTAAAGGCTTTACTTCCCCAATGCTGTAATTATTATTCTGCTAGCTTCATCTTAGAGAGTCCTATCCTGTTTGCTCAAATTGATTAAGTGCAGGAAGTAAGAACAACTGAAAAAAAATATAAATGATCACATTTTGTCTATTCCACAGAAGCTGCTAAGTAAGAGAATAGGGAAGGAGAAAAGGCACAGGAGAACAAAGAATGGAAAAATGCAAACCTAGCCAACTTCCTTAACCATTCAAGAGCACGCCTCGAGAAACACAAAAACACTACAGCTATACATGCTCAGGCATCCCAGATTCCAGAGTCAGCTTGTCTTCTTAATGACACAAAGTTTCTTAAAACTATAAAGACTAATTTTCTATTTCTCTGCAGAGGGGCAATTTCTTCTAAAGCCTTAAGCACACA